GGTGACCCGATGCTGGTGATGAGGGAGAAAGTGAGGTCGACGGCTCGGCACACTTTCGTTACTATAAACAATCTGACGCGCTTGAAAATATATCAATGCGCTAAAAGCTACTGCTTGGAAGGTTGCCAAGTGACAGGATAATTCGGAACACGCGATCAGTCCAGTGTGTGTAATGGCCGACTGGCGGACTGAGAGTCAGGTTACAGTGGTTACTTCCTAATGTGACCTTTATGGCGCTCCCACTCAGCTTGGATCCGAGTCGTCCCCTTGCTGTTGCTTTCTTGATTTTGGTGACCCACAGCACGTGAGCCTGCGCGCTCTCCTATCTCCGGCCTTCTTGACACTGCCTTGACATCAGGCCCAGGTGAGGGGAGTGGAGCAGAAGTGAGGTTGCTGCAGCGCAAGTACACTTTCATTATAATCCAGCGGAAGCCACCGTTCCCGCACCATCCTGCTGTGTAGTACACAGTGTAACTTGCCGAAACCGACGGTCAAAATGTTCTGCTATGTCCTTTTACTACATAGATGAAATTCGAATAAAACTAAAATTAAGGCAAGGCACACTTAAGCTGGTTGGGCCAAAACTTTGCCAATTATATCAGGTCACTACCGAAAAACCTTCAAACAAGTTAGGACTTCAAATTTGGAGGGGTAAAGGTAATTGCAAAAGTGTCCAGCAGTGCAGGCCGAGAGCTTATATGAGGGCTGTGCGTTTTGAACGGAATTAAACAGGCTCATCGAATTCTCCTTGCGTACTTAGTTGCAGGCATATATTTTCAAATACACTATACCTGCAACTGATCAGGCAAAAGGGCTTATGAAAACGTCTTACATACTGCTGGTACGTTTGTCTTTAATGCGAGATTGCTGCATCGATCCGAAGACCGAAACGAGTAAGCTTTTTGTCCCGATGGGAAAACAGCCTTCTAGGCAATATAGATGATTCTGAGAATTTTCATCGGAAATTCAAAATAAGATTTGTCAAATGCCTTTCAGTATTGCAAGTTGATAGCTTAAGCTAAGAGTATATTCAGGAATTCGGTCGCTTTTTTCAGAAGGCACGCCTCCTAATGTATGTAAGGAGAAGGAAAAATCACCTGAGCGATTTCCAGCAGTCGCAGTCTGTCTTCGTAGATGACCAGTGTACCACCCTTCACGTCATTTCGGGTCTTGTCAGTTACCTCCATGACAAAACCGGGAGAGCATTTTCCCCTACCACCAGATATGAGGAAGTTCAGGATGTCTAGTAGGAAAGAAGGCGACAAATAGAGAATTGCCGA